GAGATGGAGGCCCGGGACCACACAGGGAGATGGAGGCCCGGGATTATATGGGAAAACGAGGCCCAGGTCCACACGGGGAGACGAGGGGATACGGGGCCCGGGATTGCTGCAGTGAAGCTGGAGTCTCCCAGTGAGATTGACACCTTGCCCCCCTAGGAAGCTGTGAGACTCTGTCCCCACTGGTGGGGAGGTCGTGGTCAGCACGGTTGCAGGTGCAGGAGTCCACTGCAGATCTGAAACAGCTGAGAGCTCCCTCCCACTCAGACGTCCCCCACATTCGGTCTGGAAACGCTCTTGAGAAAGAGCCTTAGACTCTTAGACCCATCTCAGTCGTGGTGACAGGACCACATCCCACATGGTTGTCTGTGTGGGTTCAGGTCCCCTGAGAAGCAGATGCTGGGGTGGGAGATTCAATGCCTGGATCCAGGGGAGACTCAGGGAGGCTGGGAGTGCTGTCCAATCGCAGTGCAAATCAGACCTGAGAGGAAGGAGGCGGGGTGGAAGCCCCCTGGGTGCGGTTCAGCAGGGAGTCCTGCAGACAGTGTTGACCACGGAGGAGGCTGCCCTGGGGCCTCTGCCACGCTCAGTCACTGGCCTCAAGCACGGACTTAGATGTCAGCCCCCAGACACTAGAGCCCTGGACGTGGAATCTCAAGGTCTGGTATCTGATGGCCACCACCGAGTAGGGCTTCACATCCCATTTCTAGCTTGACCACAAGCAAATCATTCCTCCTCTCTGAGCCTCCACGTCTTCTCAGATAAAAAGGCAACCCGTGCATGTACTTCCACTTACCTCCAGGCGGTAGCGCCAGGGTCAAGCTGTCACATTAAGGTCGTGCCATTTCAGTTGTGCTGGGACAGACACTAATCTTTCAATGAAATCCTTCCTTTTGACAGTAAAATGTGTTTCTCCGGACTAAGCTATGAGCACAGACCTCCTGGGTCTGAATCCCAGTTCTGACACCAGTTACTGTCTATTGTATTTCCATTCACGGGACCCTGGTGTGTCGGAGCAGAGCTGAGCTGCACAGTTTTCAGGGACTGTTTTTTTGGAGATAGATCACCAGCCCTTTCTTTCTTCTGAGGCACTCTCAGTGGACTCACATTGCCAACCTTTCACTTAACAGCCGAGCCCATTGACGGTACCTAGTCACTAACATTCTCTAGCTGTGTTACCTTGGACTACTGGCTTAACCTTTCTTGGTCTCCATGTTCTCATCTGTAAAATGGGGAGAGTAATACAGTGTCTCAGGAGACCTGATAGGACAGTGGTGAAAGCACTAAACTGTTAACCAAAAGGTTGTACGTTCAAACCTACCACCCCTCTGCTCCAGAGAGAGAGGTGGTCGTGTGTGTCTGTAAAGACTATGGCCTTGAAAGCCATTTAAGGCAGTTCTAGTCAGAAAGAGGTGCAGAAGTATGAAAGCGAAACAGAGGATTTCAAAGCAGCAGGCTCTGCGTGGGGCACAGTGGGGGGAAGAGGCTCGCTGCACAGAAGGAAGATCACGGGGTCCAGACTCCGGAGCTACTACTCCCCACCTGTGTGGCCCGGACCCCACCTCTCAACCTCTCTGGACCCTCAATTCTTTTTCTGTAAAATGGGCTTGTTGTGGCACCGTGGCTTTGAAGGGGGGTGAGGGATACCTGCTCACTTCAAATTTGTTGCCATCAAGTCAGAAGTGACTCACAGCTGACCCTACAGCAGGTTTTTGGGGAGGCTGCAGATCTCATGGGAGGAGGTTGCCTATCTTTTTTTTTTTCCCCTTCGGAGCCACTGATGGATTTGAACCACCAGAGAGGTGCGGCCTGTGGGTTGGCTTCCACCTCCCCGTGGCCTACAGCACCAGGGCGTAAATAGAACATTAATACAGGCAGGTTGGCGCACAGCATTGACTCATGCTTCATCCATGCTGAGGTACTGTCCTGACACTGGGAGGAGCCTCCGGGGCTTTCACAGGGCTTTGCTTGTTCCTTGACTTCATCCAACCCTCCTCTTCTCTTCTGTCAGCTGGCTGAAACCGGACATGGGAAAGAAAGCCAAACACAAGACCCAGATTAAGAAGAAAACCTTGAACCCTGAATTTAATGAGGTAAGGCTGCCCCGTTCTTTGGGAGCTCCCTGCTAGATAGTTGTAAATCACATTAGGAGGGGAAACAGAAACTGTGTCCTAGATCAGCCTGATTTTTCTGAGGGAGAAGTAATGAGTTCCTTGTCACTGGAGGCAATCAAGTCTAAACCCAATGACCGTAGATTTGGAATGACAGGGAGAAAGCCGAGTTTGGAAGGAGATCACGTTCAGTTGGAAGGGGCTGTCCCATCAGTGCGTGATGTGTGGTCCTGAGACAGCCCCACGACTGCTGGGCTCGAGCTCCTCTTTGTAACCTTTGATTTGATCCGTCTTGTTGAAGGTCGTCCTCCTCTTCACTGACCCTCCTTTACTATGCCTTTCCCTGCCACTGGCCCCTCTGCTGACGTGTCCTGAGGACCTGAGATGAAGCATCACCACCCTCCTGCCTAAAGAGCATTCTGGCTGCATGTCTTCCAAGCCGGATTTAGCCTTTTCCAGTTCTCGTAAATACGGACAGCAGTGGCCTTGGCCTTCCACGTAGCTAGCCCCACCCTCCCCCTCACTCCCCACACCCACCCATCAGGACCCGCTGGAGCGACAGTCAGTGCCAATGACCAGGCTTCTTCTCTGTTCTCACTGTCACTGCCTTGGTTCAGCGCCTGGCATTTTATGCTTGGACGTTCGCAGTAGACACCTGCCTTGTTTCCCTCTGTGGAGTATTTCCTCCACGTAAATGCAAGCTTCAAAACACAAACACACAAATCCAGAGTCTCACCCTCTTTACTAAACAGAAATACCCCAGCTATGTCTCCCTCACCTGTTCGCCCGACAGTCGTGCCCTTTCTGACTCACGTCCTTCCTTTCTCCCGCCTCAGACACCCCATCTTCATGTCGTTCTAAACTCCAGGCTGAGCTCTAACACGCCCCTCGGCCTTTTGCCCCTGCTGTTTTTTTCCTCTCTGGCAAACTCCTCAACCCTCCAAACCCAGAGGCTATTCCTCATTCCTTCTCTGTGCCTCTTTCTCTCTTGTGCTGTCCTCAACTTCACAGTTGCTGCCAGCAGGCCACTCACATGCTGGGGGTCTTTAGACCTAATAGAAAACGGAATGGATGGAAGAGTAGAAAATTGTGTGAATGCCATTCACAACCACCACCCTCTGTCAGTTCATTATAATTTGGTGGTGCTTGTGTGGATGTGAGCCTGGAGGCTGTGCCTTAAATATTTCAGACACCACCTCCTGGTAAACAAGTGTCCATGGAACGTCCAGACCGGCGTAGACTGGGAGGCAAGGCCTGGTGACCTAGTTGAGCTGCCGTGTAGCAGAGTGAGATGCCGCCTGGATCCGCGGCCTCCTCGGGACTCAACACTCGTCAGACGGTTCTCTTGTGGTCCAGGGATGACTTTGGGAATGAGATAACCAGGCCTTTCTTCCAAGTCTTCTCAGAAGAGCCATGGCAGAGCGTGTCATTAGGGCTCAGGGTCCCTCTGCTGGGAGCCTGGACCCCTGAATCCCTGGACCTCAGCCTCTTAGCTCAGGGACCCTCTCACTCACATGTCTTCCTCCGTCCCTTGCAGGAGTTTTTCTATGACATCAAACATAGTGACCTGGCAAAGAAGTCGCTGGACATCTCGGTCTGGGACTATGACATCGGCAAGTCCAATGATTACATCGGTGAGTGAGGGTCCCCGACCCTGAGCAAAGAGCTCTGTGTGTCCCTCCGGGAGGGGAGGGCTGCTCCGAGCTGCTGAGGGCAAAGACCACCCCCTCACCCAGTCAGGCCCAAGACCTAGTGTTTGGTCCAGTGTGGAAATGCCCCACCTGGAAATGTCAGCTCATTATCTATGGAACAAATCGCATCGGCAGATGCAGATATCGATTCATCTGTATGAGAGACACCTCGGTCCATCTAAAAGCCTTAACACGAGTCACAGACACTGTGTGTTTTACTGATGGAAGCTCCATGCCAGCCCTGCATCCGGCCAGGCTGCGGGCGCCGTCCCCCAGCAGCCCGTGCCCCCTCCAGCCTCAGTGTCCGTTCTGGCCGTGCTCACACTCTCTCACACTTTTTCATCAGCTGTTGCACACTTTTCTCTCCACTGGGAAACAAACAAACCGAAATCCACGTGACTAACTTTGCTGAGCTAATTGCTTTACTGCTGTGGTCGGAACCAAACCAGCAACACCTCCAAAGTCCACCTGTCATTATGTGGACTCTCCCTAAAATGCAGGTCAAGTCCGAGGGAGAGGTTTCCCTGTGCCCAGCCCTCCTCCATGTGATGCGGGAGGAAAGTGCGAGAGGGAAGACTTGTCGGGGTGCAGCCCGCAAGCGGGGTGCAGGGCTGGGCAGGGCAAACCCTGCAGAAATCTGTGGGTGTCCCGAAACGGTGGGTGGTGACCGGTGAGAGTGTTGTGTTGTCAAGTCAGCGCTGACTCAGGGCAACCCCCATAGAAGGGATCCCCACAGTCACATCCTAAACTGTGTGGTCTTCACCATCGTTGTCCATGTCTTTGAGTCTGGTGTGGATAGGGAATCTGTCCATCCCACTGCGGGTTTCCATTGGTGACTGTTGTCAGGAGTCCTCAAATCCCTTCCAGCTCACAGCAGACCCACCTTACAGAGCAGACTGCAGCCACTGCCCCAAGGTCAGGTCCATCCCGACTCACAGCAGCCCTGCACGACCCACGAGAACTGCCCCCGAAGCTGTGCTCTTGACGGTCGCAGACTGCCCCCTCCTTGCCCTCAGAGCGGCTGTGGGTTTGAAGTGCTGACCTTTCAGTTAGCCAGGCAATAACCACTGTGCCACCGGGTAGCCGCTAGAGTCCCGAGCTCCATCTGTGGCTGCCCCTCGGCGGCGGCGGTCATCTCTGCGGGAGCACATCACCAGGTGTTTTCCTCACAGAGCCGCAGGGTGGATTCGAACCCCCAACCTGTCAGTGAGCAGCTGAGCCCTTGACCGCTGCACCTCAGGGCTCCTTTTCCATCAGCAGAAGAGTGGACAGACAGAAGTGAAGCCTCGGTGCTGCCGGATGGAGCTGCTGCCGACGGAGCTGCTGCCAACTCTTTTTACGGCAGATTCCTGAGCAGCAGCCCGTGAGCTGAGGAAGCAGACAGTCACGACAGTGACACCAGCACCACGCAGGCAGCTCTGGAGACCTGGTGCTAAGAGCTGCACTGCCAACCCGAAGGCACCTGGTTCGAATCCGCCAGCTGCTCCACGGGAGGACGGGCAATCTGCTCCCATGTGAGCTCCTGCCTCTCGGGACCCGCTGGAGGGTCCGTTGTGGCTCGGTTCCGGCTCAGCAGCACACAGCACCAGTCATCTCCCCGAGGCAAAGATGAGCTCTCTCCTCCATGCAGTTCACAGCCCCTGAAACGCACTGGAGGGTCAGCTCTGAGCAGGTTCCCGCCCGACGGTGCAGAACAACACCAACACTGTCGCAGGATCTTCTGTTCTAGAAAACACCCTCATTGCTATCACGGTGGAAGCATCCTGACCCTCCAGTGGCTTCCAGAGCCTGTCGTTTGCACAGAGGGCGATTACCCATCCTTCTCCACCTGGGGGATTCGAACCCTGTGCCTTCGGGTTGGCAGCACGACTCCTTACCCACTAGTCCACCAGTGCACCTTCTAACCCCTGTAGCGCGTCCTTCACACTGTTGTCTATATGTCCATCATCTGTGTGTTGTGTTGTGTTGTGTTGTTGTTTACCATGGAGTTGGAACCGACCCATAGCTGACTCTCCAGTGGGTTTTCAGAGGCAGGAAATTGCACGGGAGGAGACTGGCCGTCCTGCTACCCCAGAGCAGCGGGTGGATTCAAACCACATACCTTTGCCGTGTAATTCCTTACTACTAAGCCACCAGAGCCCCCTGTGTACCATTTCTCTACTACCCTCTCCTGGCTTGGAAGAAGTAACAGCTCGAATGTTCCTCAGACACGAGGATGATGATGTTTTGTCAGGCTTTGAGGATGTGGCCAGGAGGGGCTGGTCCCCAGGAAAGGACGTCATGCTCGGTGAAACAGAGGGTCAGGAAGGGCGAGGGGCCCCTCAGTGAGACGGCCTGGCACAGGGACCATCAGCGGGCAAAGGGCAGCGGTGCCCTGACGGTGGGGCAGGCCCGTGCGGGGTCACTGGGGGCAGAGCCGGCTGGACCCCGTGCTCCCCGAGCCACTGCGGAGGGTCACTGCTTGGCGACCAGCGTGCGAGTCCACGGCTCTGACCCCTGGCCTCGCTCTTCCCTGTCCCCCCAGGAGGCTGCCAGCTGGGCATCTCGGCTAAGGGCGAGCGCTTGAAACACTGGTACGAGTGCCTGAAAAACAAGGACAAGAAGATCGAGCGCTGGCACCAGCTGCAGAATGAGAACCACGTGTCCAGCGACTAGGGCGGGGCCCGGCCACGCCCCCACGCCCCCCACCCAGCTGCCCACCGCACTCTGGTCTCTTCTCTGCATCTACCTCCCCCACTTGCCCCGTCCTCCCCAAGCAGGCCTGGGGGTCTCCCCTCCTGTTAGCACTGCTCCGCCTGACCCGGACGTAGGCTCTGAGAGCAGCCCCTGTGCACCCCCAGGATGGGGCCGCGAGGCTGGGGTCCAGGGCAGAGCTTCCTGGGGTGTTTGCAGACTGCTTGGCCTTGAGCGTGCGCATCCCTGGAGCTTCCTCAGCCAAGACGAAGCTCGGAGGCTGGATCCTGGGGCAGAAATCCAGCTTTCGGGTTCCCGCTGCTCCTGCTAAACCAACAAACAAAACTTAGCTTCCACTCGCCGTGCCCTGTGGGTGTCAGGGAAGAACTGCACCCCCCCTAGGGTTTTCAGTGGCTGATCTGGGGGAAGCTCTGGTGGCCTAGAGGCTAAGGAGCTGAGCTTCCAACCCAAGGGCCAGCAGTTCAAATCCACCAGCTGCTCCCCTGGAGAAAGATGGGCTGTTTCCTCCCATGCGATTTACTGTGTCTGAAAACCCTCTGGACTTAGTCAGCGGTGAGTCCGTTCTGACTTGCCAGCACATGACAGCGACGGCAGATCTCCAGGCCTTTCTTCTGAGGCACCACCCAGGGACCCCCCATCCTCCAAAATCACACCCCACCTGCCACGAAGAGAGACCACAGTGTTTAAACCACCCAATGACTAGCCACCCACCCTCCTTGTTCCAAAGGCATCAAGAACTGGGGACACAGAATATGCAAAAAGACTTCACCCCCTGCCCCTGCCTTCTGACAGGTCACCTGTTTGCTCCCTGCCCCCTGCCTTCTCTCTTCCCCTGGCACCTTCCAGTTCTCCCCACCTCTCTCCTCTCCATGGGAGGAGAACTAGCAAAAAACCAAACATGTTTATCTTAAGACATCCTCACCCCTGCCTCTCACCGGCTCAGCCGCAAACTCTGAGAAACTAGCAAACGTGTCCCAGACCTGCGCTGCTTCAGGACCAAACACTTCTCCTAGGGACAGAGCCCCATCCCCCGGGCCCAGAGTAGGGGGTGCTGCAGCCCAGCTGCATGGCAGCCTCCCCCAAAGTAAAACAATACCCACTCCTGGCCGTTTCTGACTCCTGGTGACCCTCCACTGGGCCTCCAAGGCTGTGAATCTTAACAGGGGGAGACCGCCCCATGTCTCCCCCATGGAGTGGCCAGTGGGCTCGAACCGCTGACTTTTTCAGTAAGCAGCTCCATACAACCTATAGAGGCCTCCAAAGAGGGGTGTGCTCAGCCCCAGCCTCTCTGCATGGGCACAAGAGGCATTTAGAAGACCTCGATGCTATGGGCCCGAGGGGGGCCCTCCAGAGCCCGTCTCCCTTCCTTCCCTCTCAGATAAATGAGCAGACTCCCCAGCACTCTCTGACTCCTACTTTCCTCGGAACCACCTTTCTGTCTGTCTCTCCACCTCTGTGTCTGTCTCTGTTTTGCTCTCTTCCTGTCTTTGACATGCTCTTAACTATGTCTGCAGGGAGATTCAGTACCGTCATGAATATAAAACTTTAGATACTGGCCGATCTTGACATCAAAGGCTTTTGACGTGTCGTGAATCTTTCCATATTTCTTCCCCAAAATAAAAAATACAAAGGAGGAAATGCGATGAGGACAGTGATGGGGAGAGAGAAGGTGGGGTTTGCCCAGACTCCATTGAACCTTCCAGCCTGATATGCCCCGCTGTAAACCACCACCCTCTGCAGAAGTCCCCAGACACGGGGTACACCTGTCACGTCTGCCAACCTCAGGCCATCCAGTGTTCCTTTCCTCTGCCCTCCGCTCCAGCTCCATGCATAACTCACGCAAAGACACAAAGTTCTTGCCTTGAACAAACATTTTTCTAAACACCAATCTCCTTCCCTTTTCCTTCTCCATATGGTGGTCATCCCTTCCCAACACAGCCAGTGGCCTACAAGGTGGTCAAGAGACTCCTGAGGTCACCAACAGTCTCCTGAGGTAGACCAGGAAACATCCCCCACCACCACCACCGCAAGGTGACCAGTAGCCTCTGGAGGTGGTCTGGACAGAAGCCCCCCAAGATGGCCAATAGCTTTGCAAGGTGGCCGACAGCTTCCCAGTCCACCATCTCTCAGTCCTCTCCCCACGGCCCCCCTCTGACTGTCCCCCTCAGCCCACTGCCTTCCCACCTCCCCCCTAGGAGAAAGCATGCTGGCTGTGTCGCCCAAGCCTGGCACGGCACTGGCGCTGGAATGAGCATGCTGCAAGCTGTCAGCACCCCAGAGGGGCCGCTCCCCCAACTAATGTAACCGCCTCCCCGCCCAGACCCCACACGTACGCCCCCGGTGCATGCACAGCCCGTCACCACCGTTCTTTGTGATGATGTAGCCACAAATAAAGTAGGAATATCCAGAACTGACCGGGACGTGTCCTTTCTACTTTCTAGAATATCTGTATCCCCTGAAGGACAGATACTGAGCAATGGTGTCAATCTGAAGACTAAGGTGCACCTGATCCAGGTCATGTTCTTTCCAATTACTGTGCATCAGAAAGCTGGACAATGACTAGGAAGGATAGAAGGAGAATTGATGCCTTTGAGCTGTGGTGCTGGAGAAGAGTACTGAATGTACCATGGACTGCTAAGAAAACAAACAGGTTTATCCTGGAAAGGGTGGAACCAGGCTGCTCCTTGGAGGCAAGGATTCTGAAGCTCTATCTATTTGGGGCATGTTGCAAGGAAGGGCCAGCCCTTAGATAGGGAAATTAGGCTTGGGATGGTGGAGGGACAGCGCAGGAGGGGAAGGCCTTCGATGAGATGGATTGACTCAGTGAGTTGGGGTAGTGGGGGCGGGTGTGTCAGAGACAGTAGCTTGGCTCAGGATAGAACAAGGTTCAGAGCTATGAGTTGCAGGCGACTTGATGACACATAACAACCACAGGGCAAGGACGGGGGAGCTCTTCACATGCTGTGGGAATCTCCTTAGGGACCAGTCCTTGGAAAAAGACCTGCTGGGAAAGGTAAAGGGTCCGTGTAAGAGAGGGAGACCCCAACAGTGATTGTAACAACAGACTCGAGCCTGTCAGAGCTGGGGAGGGTGGTGCAGAGCAGAGCAAGGGTCTGAGCTGTTGTTCAGCAGATCACCTGGGGAGGAGTCAGCTCAGTGGCTCCTAACCACCCTTGTGAGGGCCTGGCCCAAAAGGGCTTCAGCACTTAATCAGGAGGGGGCCTACCTCCCAGAATACATGCCCTTACTTGCCACAGAACACTCCCAGTTAAGTTTCGTCAACTATGAGTTGATGCCGACTCGACAGCACACAACCACAGGTACTTACGTAGGATGAGGTGAGACAGCCGCCTCCACTAAGTTGAGCTAAACAATTGGTCAAGTCCTCCTGCAATTCAGCCAGCTGCCACCAGGTGGGGTCAATTAGGGCCCTATGTTGTGCACCAAGTCAGACCCATAGCTCACCCACCAACGGGGTTTCCAGAGGCCGTAAGTCACACAGGCAGGTGACTTGAGGGCACACAACAACAACACATCACACAGGAGGAGACTGCCCATCTTTCTCTATGGAGCACCTGCTGGATTTGAACCATGCTCTTTTGGATTGCCAGCAAAACTCCTTACCACTAGGCTACCATATGAGATTGCCCATCTTTGTTGGTGCTGCTGGTGGATTCGAACTGCCACCGTTTTTTATTACTATGACACACTGTACACTACACCACCAGGACTTCTTGTGCACATGACAGACATCACTAGTCACTCCCACTGTACTCAGGCATCACTAATCAATAATGGCATCTGAATCCATCTCAACTCAGTGTTTCAGACAGCCACAGCTGGTCCAGTCACGTAGCAGCTGAAGACAAGGGATAGATTCCATCCCTAAAATGATTGGTCTCTTTCCCTGGGCCTGGGCACATGCCCACAGGCTGATACTTGCACGTACCTGGGAAAAGTGAGATACTGATGCACCAGACCTGGTGCCTCATGCTTTTTTCTTCAATTATATAAAACACTTGGTAACAGAGGTCAAAGCACAGTGTGCAGAGAACTGTCTCCTAGAATTACACACTGACTTTTTAACCCAGTGAGTCCAGCATTCAAATCCTGTCTCTGTCACCTTCTAAATGACAAGTCATTTAGCCTCATTGAGTATCCACATCCTTGTCTGACAGTAGGAACAACAGTAACTGCTTCTTGTAATTAACTGAGACATTTCAATGAGAGAATACCTGGAGTCCCGGACAGTCATAACCAAATACACGTTACTATTCAATTAGCACCAGCTCGTGTTGCTCAGAGAGACCATTTCTTGAAAAGAGACATTGTACTTGGAAGGGTGGAGGGTCCACGAAAGAGAAGAAGACCCTCAACGTGATGGTGGACACGGTGACTGCAGCAATGGACTTGAGTGTGTCAGAGGTGGTGAGGGTGGTGTACCATAGGACAGAGTCAGAGCTGAAGTTCATGAGCAACAACAGTACAGAAAAAACACCATTGTGCCTGTCTTGCCTCTGAACCATTGGGAGGCAGCCCTTCGAACCTACTCTCTTTGGCACCCAGCATCCCCTGAAGTGGGTTTGGTTATTATTACAAAAATAAGAACTTGAGGTAAGACCACTCTCTCACAAGGCTTCTCTGGGTGAACTGGAATGACCAACCTTGCCGTGTTAACCATTTGTGCCTCCCAGACCCACGCACGCAGCGACCCTCACACACATCCGCGCCCCCTCCCCCTCCCCCCGCCCCGTCCCGAGGTTTTTTCAGGCTGTTTTGTTCCTAGGAGCTGGGTGGGTGCAGGGAGGCCAAGGAAGCAAGGTTGGGGAGGGCCCGGAAGCGGCCGGGCTATCAGCACCGCTGTAAGAATCGAAACAGAAAGCGGGTGGGAACTGAGGCTCCCAGGAACTCCGGGAGGTGGAGGAAAACGAAACCCGAAACCCCGCGCCTATGAGAGAGAGCGGAGGGCTCACTCGGCAGCGACCATGGACTTGCGCAGCACCGCGGCCGGCGCGCTGGACGAGCTGGTGGCGCGCAGCCTGCAGCCGTCCGCGGGAGTTCGTGCGCGCATCGCGGCGTGCTCTGGGCGCACTGAGCACCGGCCTGCGAGAACGCTGGGGGCGCCCCGGAGCCCCGGAGCCCGAGCTGCGGGTGCTGAAAGTCATCAAGGTGAGGCGCCCTGTGGACAGCGGCCACTGACCCTCGTGGTCTTGGTTTCTGGGTGAGTGGCAAAGGGGATGAGGGCGGGATATAGGTACATCCAATTTATCTTGGTTTTCTTTCATGTCTTTAAATATGACCTACAAACTGGCGGCCTCCTTGAGTAGAGAGGTGTGCTGCCAACCCAAGGACAGAAGGTTCAAATACACCTTTCTCCTTGGGACAAAGATGGACAATTTTCTCCCCCAACATTTCCATACATCCTCTGCAAACCTGCTGGAGGGTCAGCTGTGAGTCTGGGCTGACTCGCCAGCACATAACAACAATAACTGTGTGTTAGTATCAAGTGCCTCGGAAAGATGAAATAGACATTGACTGTACACAAGAACCCTGTGAGATAACCCCTGCTTGACGTACGGGGAAACTGAGGCTCAGAGGCCAGTGAGAAGTTGCTAAGAAGTAGAGACAGATTTCTTACGGAGCAGCATTAGCAAAACGTTCTTGCAAACCTTTGTGCTGGTTGGAAAACTTCCTTTAAAAAAAAAGCTGTTTTGAAGGATCCCTGGCGGAGTAGAGGGTCAGGCTGAGAAGAGAGAGGTGGGCAGCTTGAAATCCTGGGAGAAGGATGTGCAGCCTCCTCGCACGAAGGGTCCCAGCCTCAGGGGGTCGTGATGAATCAGAATCAACTCTACAGCAGGTTTTAAGGCAGTTAAGTAAGGGATAAGAATGTGGGTTTGGGAGCCTGACTCCTGAGGTTCAAATCCCGGCCCAGCCTCTACTGGCTCAGGGGTCTTAAGCATGTGACAACCTCCTCCCTGGTCTTTGCAAGATGACTGCAGGAACGTCCCCTTGCCGCTGGTTCTGGGGAAGAGTGTTGACCATCCCGTGAACTGCCACAGAACAAAGACATCTCTCCATGAGTAAGTGCAGCCAGGCTGCTCCGTAATGGCAAGGGTGGGGACACTCGGTCTCACACACACTGTTGTCAGGAGGGGTCAATCCTTAGAAAGTGCCATCATTCTGGGAAAGGCAGGAAGGTCAGCAAATGAGAGGAGGCAGAGCTTCAGTGAAATGGATTGACACAGTGACTGGAGCCCGCAGATGATGAGGATGGCACCGGACAGGACAGGGTTTCAGTCTGACGTTCGTAGGTCTCTGTGGGCTGTGGTTGACTTGATGGTACCCAACATCAACATCCTTTGCAGGAGTGAAGAAAATCAACGACCCATGGAAACTATTAGCCCAAAGGACTAAGCATCATTCGAACCCAGCCCCTTGAGACCAGAAGAACGAGGTGGTGCCCGGCCATCACTGCTGACTCAGAGAGGGACCAGAGTCAGAGGCCTTGGATACAGTGGGAGGAGAAGTACAGGGAAAGTTTCAAAATTTTTTTTAAAAAAAATTACACTTACTGGTCTTTAGGGAATGGGGGAACCCCCAAAAGGATGACCCTTAATCACCTTTTAACTCTTTAAGGCTCCTCTCTCTGCCAAACAGTAGACTGACAAGGTGCCAGATAGCATCAGAGAGGAACATGCCCTACGCCAACTAACCACACAAGATCAAAGGGCAGCATTTGTCCAACGATAAAGCTCCCAAGGCAGGAAGGGACAGGAAAGGACAAATGAGAATCGTAAACTCAGGGAGCAGGTGGGTAGAGTGTTGTGACACAAATCAGAACGGGTGTGAATTGTTGAACAGAATACCAAATCACGATAAAAAAAAAATGTTTAAAAAAATCATGAGTTTACACACAGCAGTTGCTTCTTTGAAAAAACTGTGCAGCTCGAGCTTCGGTGGCCGGCTGCTGTGCTGCCACAGTCCCCACCCAGCCCACTCGCCTCACCTGAGTTGCCTACACTTGGGCACGTGCGTTGGCGAGGTTGGAATGCTGAGTGAGTGTCTCTTCACAGGGAGGCTCCTTTGGCCGGGGCACAGCTCTGAAGGGCGGCTGTGACTTCGAACTTGTCCTCTTCCTGAACTGCTTCAAGAGCTACGAGGACCAGGGTGCCCACCTGGCAGAGATACTGGTCGAGATGCGGACAGAGGTGGAATCTTGGTGGGCGGACCCTGTCCCCGGCCTGAGCCTTGAGTTTCCTGAGCAGGACAAGTCTGAGGTGCTGCAATTCCGACTGGCATCCAAGGACCTTGAAAGCTGGATGGATGTTACCCTGGTACCTGCCTTTGATGCCCTGGGTAAGCAGTGCCCCGCCTGTGGGTGGGAGGTAGGGAGATGAGACCACCTAGAGATTTTATTCTGGGAATAAAACAGAGCTTCTAGTTTTAACCCTGCCACCCACTTGCTGTGTGGCCTGGGCAAGTCTCTGTCCCTCTCTGAGCTGGTTCTTAACTAAACATACTGAGTTTGGACTAGACGGGCGTGGAAGACCTCAGTCCTCTGAGTCTGTGGTTCTCATGTCTGGGAACTTGACACTCTCCCAAGTATCTCAGGAGAATGTCCTCCAGCCGCTGTCTACAACACAAAGACGTCAGAGGCCACGGCACAGAGGCATGGCTCTGCCACTGGGGCCCAAGGACAAGGCCAGAATTTTGTAGAATCTTCTATCTCATCTTCAGAACATCCATGTGCTTTTTCCTTTCTCCTTGATAACATGTGCTTGATTTAATGTCGTAATGTGTCTTCATGCCCATATCTGTAAAATCGTTGTTGTTGTTGTTGTTATGTGTCTTTGAGTCAGAACTGACTCGTACCCAACCCTCCAGTGGGTTTTCAAAGGCTGTAATTCTCACAGGAGGAGATTGTCCATCTTTCTTCCCCAGAGCAGTTGATGGATTCGAACCACATGCCTTTAGGTTGGCAGTGCAACTCCTTACCACCAACCAGCCTACCAGAGAAGGGGGTTGATAATTAATCTGCCTTGTACACTTGTTGGGAGTATTGTTGTTGTCATTGTTATGTGCTGTCGAGTCAGCTATGACTCCTAGCAACCCTGTGAAAACAGTGTCTCTGAGCCCTGACCTATCCGGAGCTAGTCTCACTGTCTCTGACACACCTGCCCCATTGCCACAGTCACTGTGTCAATCTGTCTCATCCAGGGTTTTCCCCACCCTCTACCCTTCCAAGTATGATGTCCTTCTCCAAGGACTGGTCCCTCCTGGCAATATGCCCAAAGTATTCAATGTGTTAGTATCTAATGTCTATGTTAATATCTAATGTCTGTGTTAATATCTAATGTCTGTGTTAACACACATAAATGTTAATTTATGAAAAGAACATAGAACAGCGCTTCGCTTTTTTTTATTAATTGTAATGAAAGTTTACAGAGACCTTGGATTTCCATTCATTCATTGTTGCACTTTTCTCCTTCCCCCAATTTGTCCTTCTCTTTGAAAAGTTCTTTCATTGTTACACAATCCCTCCCCCAAGTCCACTCCACTATGCAGCCTTCACTCTGGACTCCTGTCATGACAATAATACCTAATCATATATCCCTTTTAAACAGTTCTCGCCCTCATCTGTTTCAATGCAGTATCCATTATTTATTCCATCTTTCTCAGTCTGCCCCAACCCCAGTGTCAGTCCCATTTTACAACAGTGGCACTATGCAGTATTTGTCCTATTGTGACTGAGATATTTCACTCAGCATAATTTAACTAGGGTTGTGCAAGTGGCAGAGGCCGGGCTCTCTAGAAAAGGAAATCATTGAAATTTATATATATATAAAGAGAGAGACTTGGCTCATGACCTTGTAGGGTCCCAGGTCCATGGATCAGAGGTCAGGAGAGACTTCTCATGGGCCGTGCGGAAGCTACTGACAAATCTAAGTCAGGTGAGCAGACTGGTAGCTCAGGTCCAGGGAACCAGAGGCGACAGCCAGCTGCAAGGTCCAGACCAAGCAAAGGCAGTAGAGCTTTGCCTGCATCCATACATGCTTGATGTGGGCCACACCCTCAAGGAAGGAAACTCCTTCTCAAATGACTGGCTGCTCATAGCTGACCCCACCATGAAGGTCATTGTATTATATATATAAGGTTTCAGCATGAAATTATTCTGTTTATTAGATAATATGTGAATGGGGGAGTTTTGAGGGGAGGTTGGTGCAAGTGCTTCTGACCCGGCTGGAAGATCCTTCCCTGTTTAACCACTTGACCATTCGGAGCGGGTGGGGAGACACTGGAGCACAGTGTAAACTGAGGCACAGGCCACTAAGCACCAGCTGGAGTTCTCTCCCAGATTCCCCTGCCCCTATTCTCTCCCTGCTCCCTAAGCAGGTCTCGGTGCTGACCCGGTGACCCTCTTTATCCACAGGACAGCTCCGCTCTGGCATCAAACCCCAATCCCAGGTCTTCTCCTCCCTCCTCAGGACTGGCTGCCCGGGGGGCAAGCACGCAGCCTGCTTCTCAGAGCTGCGAAGGGATTTCATGAACACCCGGCCAGCCAAGCTCAAGAACCTGGTCCTCCTGGTGAAGCACTGGTACCGCCAGGTGAGGGCACTCGGGAGGGGCTTTGCCCAGGGCACCTGGCTGGTTCCCTTCTCTCAAGAATGAGAATCATAAGAGGGCTCTTGTGGCATAATGGCAAGAAGCTGTGCTGCAATCCCAAAGGTTTGAATCCGCCAGATGCTCTGCTGGAGGAGAGATAATCTCCTCCTGTCTCCTGTGCCAGTTGGATCCAATTCGACAGTACACAACAAGAAAAAAAATTATAATTGTTTGTACCTTTCTCTTTCTAGGTATTATCTGTTCATATCCTTCATTATTTTCTATTGGACTGTCTGCCTTCTTGTTGATTTCTCAGTGCTCTTTATATATTTTGGACACTAATAAATTTTACTTCGCTCCATAATCAATCCTCATGGAAGCAGCAGTCAAGAAGTCAAATGAGGCAGCCTGTGAAGAATGAGGGGGGAGTCAAAAAATTTCAGGGAGCAGTGACGTTCATCCTAGGCTAAGGCAACACCATGTGCAGAGACAAGATGGGACAGAAAGTGGAGCACTTGGGATGGACAGACGGGATGTGATATGACCAGTGGGATAAGTAACACATGCGGTTGGAGTGGGAAAGAGAGCTGGCGAGGTGGACACAGGTCAACCAAGCAGCACCTTACATTTAAACTGAGTCATCCTTCCAAGGGTAACAGGGAGCCATGGATGGTGGTTTATTGAGGTCCTGCCCCGATATATAGAAACAGTTCCGCAGAGAGAAGGGATGAGGATTAAATGAAGATGCAGAGAGCCTCCTCCTTGATCACGTATCCCTTCTTTATTATCTCTGAAAAGGCTTATATAGGTTTCTGAAAAACACACCTGCAGGGGTAATCACATTATCTCATTTAGGTTTCCTTTCGAGATGGTTCTAGTCAAGATGGAATCAGTTCTGCTGGTTTTACAAATGTAGTGCTAGTCTTGCCTTGCAAGTTAGCCAGGCCTCTGACAGTGGTTTATCCAAAGGAGAGGGAGTAGTGATGTGGTCAAAGGTCTGTTTGCTTTGGTGGATCAGAGGCACCACGACTGATAGGCTGGCAGTTGAGAGGCTTGAACAGAGGGTGGGAAGATGTGACTAGACGTGAGCTGGCCGCTTGGTGGAACCCGAGCAGTGGGAACTGGAGATCATCCAGCTGCTCCAGAAAGAGGCTCGATCCCAGCTGCTTGTCCAGTGAGGCCTGTGGCTCCTGATACCCTGACCTCACACACCCTCCTACAGAGATATCCCGGGAAGCTTACTCTGATCCTTCTTCTCTGCCTCTCCCCCCACATACAGGTCTGCCCACCCCAGGAGAAGAGGACCAAGCTGCCCCCAGCCTATGCCCTGGAGCTGCTGACCATCTTTGCCTGGGAGCAGGGCTGCAGGAAGGATGCTTTCAGCCTGGCCCAAGGCCTCCGAACCGTCCTGGGCCTGATCCTCCAGTACCAGCACCTCTGCATCTTCTGGACCGAGTACTATGGCTTTGAGGACCCAGCAGTTGGGCAGTATTTGCAGAAACAGCTTAAGAGACCGAGGTACATCCTCCTACCCCCTGCACCAGCTCCCCTGCAGCGTGGCCACGGGGAGGTAATTAACCATCATGAACATTCTGACTGATGACTTGGATGGGAGCCCAGTGGAGATGCTCCGCATGCATTTTCTAAATCAGGGCTTGCAACTCCAGGTGTGCATTTGCCTTACCCAGGGAGTTCCGGGAGTCCAGGAGAGATCCAAATGATGAAGACCCTTGGCTGGTAACCAAGGAGCAGGCGAGAAGAATGCATGGAAATGAGAGTCACAGGGATGAAGTGGGAAGAGTGTGGCTACCCTGTGGCTGTTGTAACTAGTGTCCCAATGTCATCCCGGCCCCTGTAGAAGAATCTCATCTTTGACAAAGGAGAGGGTTGGTGGAAGGGAGAAAGACCTGCCAGAAGATGGATCAACACAGTGAGGAAGGTACAGGATAAGGCAGGGTTCTGTTCTAGTGTAAACAACGTCACTATGAGTCAGCACCAACTCGACAGCACCTAACAACAGCACGAGGAGCTTGAAGGCCAGTGTTAAGAAGCTGTGCTGCAGTCCCAAAGGCACATGGTTCAAATCTCCCAGCTGCTCCATGAGAGAAGGATGGGCAATCTCTTCCTGGGCAATTTGTTGTTGTTATTGTTGTTATGTGTCATTGAGTTGCCTGCAACTCATAACAACCCCAATGTACTACAGCCCTAAACCCTGCTCTGTCCTGTGCCAATCACACTGTTTCAGACACACCTACACTCATTACCCCAGTCACTGAATCAATCCACCTCATAGAGGGCCTTCCTCTCCTGCGCTGTCCGTCCACCCACCCAAGCATGATGTCCTTCTCCAAGGACTGGTCCCTCCTTGCAGTATGTCCAAAGTACGTCAGATGAAGCTTCAGAATTGTACACCCATGTTCATAGCAGCATTATTCACCATCGCAAGAACAAGGAAACAGCCCAAATGTTCAACCACAAACAAGTGAATTGAGAAATTATGGCACATTCACACAGTGGAGTACTATGCAGCACATAGGAGCAATAACTTTGTAAATTATTACCTAACTTGGGAGGGACTGGAGAGCATTATGCTGAGTTAACTAACTCAATCCCACAGGACAAATATTGTATAAACCCATTACTGGAGAATGAGTATAAGGACCCAGGAGGAGTGGGAGAGGCTGGAAGCAGAGGGATGTGGATGTGCAGGGAGAAGGGGGAATTAATAATTGGGCTGTACAATTTGATGAGGGAAGTGAGGGAAATTGAAAGAATTTGTTCGAATTAGTATTAGAATTTTGTAAATAAACTAGTGGCGGGAGGGCGGAGCGAGGAGAAGACTCCTTGCCTCCGAGGAGCAGCCTGGTTTAACCATCTCCAGGATGAACCTGTTTGTTTTCCTAGCAGTCCATGGCATATTCAATACTCTTCTCCAACACCACAGCTCAAAGGCATCAATTCTCCTTCTATCATCCCTGGTCATTGTCCAGCTCTCCGATGCATAGCAAGTGATTGCAACGATCATGGCCTGTATCAGGCGCACACAATTTACAGCCTCCAAAACCCCACTGGAGGACCAGCTATGAGACACTGCTGACATGACAACACACAACAACAACAACAGCACCAGTCCCCAGCAGAGTAGGCACCATTGTTATCCCTGTTCTGCAGATGAGGAAACTGAGGCTCAGAGAAGCTGAGTCCTCTGCTCCAGGCCACAGAGCTGGGAAGCTGGGATGGGAACCAGGTGCACTGGACTTCAGAGCCCGGAATTTGACCACCTAGCTCACCAGAGTCTTCATGTCCTGCTTGGTACTGTAGGCCCGTGATCCTGGACCCTGCCGACCCAACCTGGGATGTAGGGAATGGGACAGCCTGGCGGTGGGACGTGCTGGCCAGAGAGGTGGAGGCCTGTGGTGATTACTCGTGTTTCCTGGAGGCAGCAGGGAGCCCTGTGCAGTCCTGGGAGGGGCCGGTGAGTGAGGGGTCCCCAGCCTCCTAGGATTTCACTCTATCTATACTTTATAAGCAATGTTTCCTCAGCATCTGCTGAGTCAGCTTAGAGAAGGACAAGGTTTCATTTTGCATAATTATTGGTCAACTGGCCCAGTGACTGTCCACCCACAGGGATGCCTTTATTATTATTATTATTTTATTATCGTGTGTGTGTGTGTGTGTGTGTGTGTGTGTGTGTGTGTAATGTCAAATCACATCTGACCGGTACAGGAGGAGATTGTTCCTCCTCCAGCAAAGCATCTGGTGGATTTGAACCGTGCACCTCTGGGATTGCAGTGCAGCTTCTTGCCACTAAGGAATGCCTTTTGTAACTCATTCCTCCACAAAGGGAAACCCTTTTCCATTCACAAAGGCACCATTAGGACTAGCAATAACTCTCTCCTCCTCTCTGGGCCTCAGTCACTCTGGCTGTACACTGGGCTGGTGAGAGAGGGGTGGATCAGAAGTCGAAACCTCTGCCCTGAGTAAAGCAGCTTCTTCCATAACTTCCAGGGCCTGCCACGTGCTGGGGGCTCAGAATTGGGTCACCCAATCCAGAGAGACCCTGACCAGAAGACCTCCGAGGACAGTGTAGATTCCTGTGTTGTGCACCATAGAGCAAAGGATGGGCAGCCCACATGTCCAGCCCCTCCCAGTCCCTCCCAGATGGCAGTCAGTGGTGCCTCCTCTACGCCTGAGAGCGTCTCGAATGTGTCTCAGATCCCCACCAAAGAGCTGGACTGCTTCGTCCAGGACCATTTGAAACCAAGCCCTGAGAGCATCTCAGATGTGTCTCAGATCCCTGCCAAGGAGCTGGACCGCTTCATCCAGGACCATTTGAAGCCAAGCCCCCAGTTCCAGGAGCAGGTGAGCAAGGCCATCGACAGCATCTTGCGCTGCCTCCGTGAGAACTGTGTCCACAAGCCCTCCAGAGTCAGCAAGGTGAGTGAGACAGTGGAGAAGGGGAAGGGTCCCAGCAACTGACATTGGTCAGTTTGGGCTGGGCAGCAAAGGAGGGGTGGTTGGCTGGAGGGAGCTCTATATTTTAAATGCCAACATTTTTTTAAAAAAATGAGACTTCTTCTTGTGATCAAAACATATATAACAAAACATTTGCTGGTTCATGGAATCCAGACTTTCTGGATCCACGAAGGCTGGATGAACCCCCAAAACAATTATTCTGGTTCAAACCCACTCTGGGAGAATAACATCATAAAGATTTACAGCCTTGGAAACGCTAGGGTGAAGTTCTCCTCTGTCCTGTAGGGTCGCTATGGGTTTAAAGTTTTGTGGGTATTGTTGGTTCTCTAGATCTTCCTACTCGGAATAGAGCTTCATCTGTGCTCACTTAGTCCTTGGCCATAAAGATGATCCTGACTCAACAGCAACCCTGTTGGACAGGGTAGAACTGCCCCTATAGGGCTTCTTTTGTTGTTGTTGTTGTTGTTGTTGTTTTCTTTATTAAACTGTTCATTGGGATTTGACTGAAAGTTCACAAAGCAAATTTATTTTCTATTCAACACTCCTGACATATTTTGTTTTGGAACATCGATTGATTGCAATCCCCACAATGCAACAGCACTCTTCCCACTTCCTCCCTGTGCTTACTGTTTCCATTCATCCTTCTAGCCTCTCCCTGCCTGCTTTCTGAGCTTTAACTCTAGGCAAATGCTGTCCTTTAATCTCATAGGATTGTAGTTCCTTTTAGGCCACATGCTGCTAGACCTGGCAGCAGACAGAGAGCAGTTTCAAGAGTGTGGATGGTAGAGTCTGACTCCTGGGCTCATGGCTTTGTGCTCTGTTTCCCTCTACAGGGGGGCTCTTTCGGCCGAGGCACAGCCCTAAGGGATGGTTGTGATGTCGAACTCGTCATCTTCCTCAACTGTTTCAAGAACTACCAAGACCAAGGGGCCCACCATGCAGAGATCTTTGATGACATGCGAGCTCGGCTGGAATCCTGGAGCCAGGACCCAGCCAACAGCCTGAGCCTCAGGTTCAAACAGAATGGGCCTGGGATGCTCCAGTTCCACCTCACGTCCACGACCCTGGAAAGCCAAATGGACATAAGCCTGCGGCCTGCCTTTGATGCCTTAGGTGAGGACCCAGCTGAGCTTTGGGGACCAAGCATCCAGGAAACATCTAGCAACGGCGCTTTCAACCCCCTTGTAGTCTTAATTCTCTAAGTATTGCAAACTACTTTGTTGTTGTTAGATGCCATGGAGTCAAGTACAACATATGAACAACAGACCCTGACCCATTCTTCACCGTCCTCATCAACTCTGACACATTTGATCCCATTGCTGCAGCTACTGTATCAATCCCTCTCATCGAGGGCCTTCCTCTCTTTCACCAACTCTCCACCTTTCCAAGCATGATGTCCCTTTCCAAGGAATAGCCTTTCCTAGCAACATGCCCAAACTTTGTGAGATGAAGCTTCACCATCCTTGGCTCCAAGGAACATGCTGGCCACAATTTCTCCAACACTTATCTGTTTGTTCCCTTGACAGTCCATGGGGTAGTCAGCACTCTTCTCTAAGACCACAACTCAAAGGCATCAGTTCTTCTTCTGTCATCCTTATTCATTGTCCAGCTCTCAGACACATAACAAATGATTGAAAAGACCATGGCCTGAAGCAGGTGCACCTGAGTCTTCAGACTGACATCATTTCTCCTCAGTAATTTGAAGACGTCCCTGACACCTAATCATTATCATGACATAGTACAACTATTTCATGCTTTTAATTTTATAAAGCTTTTAATTGTAAAATGTTTCCAGTATACCAAAAACTGCAGACATCACACCCCCACATGCTCCAATTAAGATTAAACCAATTTAAAACAAAGTTTGGAAAAAAAAAGTCTACTCCCCTCCCTACATGTTATAACTTCATATATGTAAGAGTTTACTTTGTAGTTATTTTTCTAACTTTTGGAGTGATTATTAGTAATTGTCTGTGAGTACAACAGAGGCTATACATTTCCATCAGAGTGCTACTTTGGCATAAGTGCTGCTATGTTTAATTTTTAGTATCTCTCAGGTTGATTTTGGACTCTTAATTTGACATTACTATTTGCTCTTAGACTTGGAAGTATCTCTTAGTGTTCCTCTGTTTGCTTTTGGCATTGCTTTTTTGTTGTTTGGCTGGTTTTCCTAGAATGTAAGCAGAATATAAGTTATGTATAATGAGTAATTTGAGACTTCCTAGGTTGCTTCTGAGTGGGGAAAAAAGATGCATTGATAACTGCAAAATTCGATAATGTAGGATCTTTAGATTTAGTTTTCATTGGGTTTTGTGTTGGTTTTTTTTTTTCCTCAGTGTGATTTATTGCTTGGGGGGGGTATGTTTGGTTGGTTTTTTTGTTTCTTTGTTTGGATTGGTTTCGTTTTGCTTCTCATTTGGCCTATCAATTTATGAGTTGGATATCTTAACATTTTCTACTCTGAATGTAGATTTGCCAATTTCTCTATCATTTTGGCAACTTTTGCTTTTAATGGTGTTAAGGTATGTTATTAGGAACATGTAAGTACAAAGCATAGTTTTTGTTGAACTCTTCCTTTTCTCATTAAGTAATAAGCCTCTGCATTAAAAATTCTGTGAGTCTTCAAACCTTTTGTCTGATATTCATGGGAACACAGTCATCTCAAATTGTTCACGTGGAGTGTTTCAAATTTCACAGGGAAGCTCGGCTCCGGCACCAAACCCCAGCCCCAGGTCTTCTCCACCCTCCTCGGCACCAGCTGCCGGGGAGGCGAGCACGCTGCCTGCTTTGCAGAGCTGCGCAGGAACTTCGTGAACACTCGGCCCGCCAAGCTGAAGAACCTGATCCTCCTGGTGAAGCACTGGTACCGCCAGGTGAGGCACAGGTACACCCTGGCCCCTCCCAGGAAGTAGTAACCATTGTGACAGCTGTCACAGCCAATCAGCTCCTCCCTTAGGCAGCCATGTCCCCTGCTTCGCTTCTTATTGGTCATTTCAAGCGGAAGGACCACCTCCCCTTGTTTTATATTTTCTGTCAGAGCTGGGAGTCCTAGACTGAGAATTCTTTGTGTTTCAAGTCTCAAGTCCGAAGTCCACGTTTCTTGCGGCTGGAATTCTCCGCCCTAATGTAACCCATATCACACTACCAAGGTGTGTGATATGTTTTTCACAGCTTCAAGTCTTTGATAATACTGTTTCGCCAATCATCCTGTTCTTTCCAAAAAAAAAAATAAAAAAAAACAATCCCAATTGCCAGTCAATTCTGATTCCCAGCCACTCTGTAGGACAAGCTTAGAATGACTTGATAGGGTTTCCTAGGTTTTAAACCATATTTTATTTTATTTATTATTTCAGCATATTCTTCCTATTTTTTTTTCATTCATTCATTGTTGCACATTTTCTTCCCCTGCCCACCCTACCCCCCACCCCGTTTGCTTTTCTTCTTGAAAAGGGGAAAAGAAAAA